GATAATTGATCTCGCACGTAGATACTTCGGATTTAGAGCGCACTTTCCGCAAATGCATTTTCAATTATTTTTATTGCGCTATTGGTCGATTGACGCAATTCTGCGTTTGATTCGACTGCAATTAAGATCAATTCTTGAGCTCTTATATAACTTATGTAGGCTCTCTTTGCATATTGATATTTATATCTAGTCAACATATTTCATGTCATAATTTAAAAATCAAATATGAAATCGGAAGCTGGAGAAGCATTGACTACCAGTGCTTTGCAAATCAATGACATTTTACTTTTTTATACGTAGAAGAGAAGAAATAAATCTAGCGATTATGGATTAGCAAAAATCGCTTCGTATACATTTCTTATCAGAGATAAACTTTATATAAAAATTGATCACGATATTAAATAAAATTTAATTTATTGAATTCGATGTAACAAATAAAAAATTGTTAATCAAAGAACAGTAGATACCAGCCAGCGCGTTCTTAGCAATATCTTAATGATATAACGTGACGTTTGTAAAAGTGCCGCACCTTAGGTGCCTATGCGCGACTTTATGTTCCTCTTAATGAAGCCACAATCACGCAGAATTAATCTAGCGAGAGATCTTAATGCAATATTGAGCAAGAGAAGCTTATCACCGTATTGAGTGAACGCGCGCGAGCACGTGGCCGCTTGCATGCAACGCGAAACGTTGTTTCCGACTCGCCCGATCCCCGAATCATCAACCGCCATGCGATTCGGTATAGCACCTTCTATATACACGCGAGTATTTGCCGTTTCTGATGACTTATTTACGATCGTTACGTGATTCGCGAGCGGATACGTGACACATCGTGCTTATATATCGCTCTTACACAACGGCCGACGTTTAACTGAGTAACCTTTCTCCGCGTTGTTTTGCATCGAGAGTCAGACGCTGCCTCATAGACCGTTCTCTGTCTCTCTTTTTCTCTTGTGAAACATTAGCAAGAAAAACTCGGAAAATGTGATATTCATTATTACTTGCAAAAATTAACGTTTGTCCGCAGAGTTTCTTTGTTGCTAGGCGCAGACTTCGCACTTTGTAATAGGAATGATGTATTTGTTGTATATAAGATATAAGGAGGAAAGTAAACAACGGGTTTGCGTTAATCTTGCGTAATAAACGAATGATAAAACCGCACAATGACGATAAACGAACAGACAATAGAGGCGAATGGACGATAGATAATAACGTGCGCTGGCCTTCTATCATACAGCGTTCTTCACCACTCACAAGTGGTTCATGACCAAGAAAATTGATTAAAATAGACATCGTTGATCCACACTAGTTGTCTGATATCTTTGTTGAAAATCGTGTTATTTCCGCTTATACTTTAAATATTGTTTTTAAATTTTATTTTAATTAGAGAGCTAGATTGTTTTATATGCATTGAAAAAGACTTCAAAATATAAAATATATTTGTTGTTTGTATAAAAAGTCTTAAAAGAAAAGGCATTATGGAAATGGATTTTTACGGAAATAATTAATCATAATTGATCTAGTTTATTAGCTATTAAAATTAATATTATTTAATAATTGTTATAATAGAATTATAATTATTACTTTTTCTGTGCACGTGATAAAATTGTTTTTATATATTCTGTTAGCATGTCGCAACATGCACGATATACATGTAACACCGATTTGAAATGGAAACGCAAAAACGTCATTTAGTTATCTCAAATAGAACGACGCTTAATTATGAACGGAATAACTGTTCCATCGACAATGTAATGCAAAATTGAGCAACGTCACTTATTTCCGATGACAATGGAGATAAGAGCATATCCGACGACGGTTAAAAACGTCAATGAGAAACTGAGTAATTAATAGCTCGACGAAAGCGCCCGGAATTTTCACGACTGCTATCCGATCTGGGAACTTTCGCGTCGGTCTCGGGGATAATTAGCGTCGTCACCTTAAAAGCGATCGAAAAATGACGGTAGCGAACCGCGTAAGACAGTAGCCGACATCCATTTCGGAAGTGAAAACTTCCCACGGTGTGCTTGCCTGTTATTGGCAAGTCCTAATAAGAGAGAAATTCTGACAACGGCACGCAACGGCGCTTTATAACGCTTTTGGTGTTACCGAGCTACCGAGTGGTAGCTGAGGTCCTGTTTCGAGTTGAGAAAGAAAGAAGGAGAAAAAGAGAGAGAGGAGGAATAGGGGGAAGGGGAAGAGAGAGGAGATACACTCTCGATGCTCGTTTGGAAAAATCGTTCAGCCTTGGGCGACCCTAGCCCATGCCCTTTTCTGTCTCGACCAGTTCGTAACGAACGACATACCATTCTCACGACGATTGCGATTAACCCCCTTGGTCCTGCATATATTTTCAGCTGCAGGTCCGCGTCGTGGAACTCACTGTATATGTACAGGACTAATCGCGCTCGCGTTTAACGATGGATACCTTGTATAAGTAACTAGAATAAGAAGGGCTCTTGAGAGGAGATGCGAGTTTCTAATTTTGGAGCGAGAGGTACTCCCGAATCGGTCATTGAAGAGAAGATCAATTATCTCATCAAGATCAATTATTCTGTTAATTATCTCAATAATTGTGCATTTTTCTTCGGGGAACTTGGAGAAGCTCTACATTTAGATTCACGTAAGCTCATTTAAATCTAAATCTAAAAGTGCTTATATTAAATGTTATTCCAGAATTTCTGATATCAAACGATCTCTCAAATTATTTACGATTTCTCGATATCGACGTAGGTAACGGAAATGGATCGGAAAGGATTCAAAGACGTGGAAAAACGATGAAAAAAGTCGCTGGTTTCTTTTACTTTTAAAAACAAATTATCGCGGTGTAATAAAATCCCTCGGTGTATCCGTTACATAAGCATCGTGATTCTATGACTAAACTCGAATTTCCCGCCCATAAATCGCGCTATCGATTTGCAATATCCGCAATGGATAAGATAAAAAAAGGCACGAAGGAGATCGTTGTTACGGCGTCCCGGTCAAGGAGAACGCCGTCGAGACGTCACCGTCATGGAAATGAAATTTTTGCGCAACTCGGGCGACAGGCTCGGCCGATTGATCAGCAACCTACGTTCGCGTCCGCGTCCTTTCCAAGGAAACGTAACTCCTTGTGGTGGCGGAGGCAATAAGTTCCGGTACGC